TAAATTTTTGACCTTAAAAAAATGAGTATCAAGTTTATAATGTTTGCTTGTGTTGCTACAACATTATCTAAGAGTGAATGTTAATGAGCAGATACAGTTGCTAGTAAATGTAATACAACTGTCAGGGATCTGATCAGGGGAAACAGAAGAGACACAGTTGCAGGTCCTTTACAGTTTATTCATACAATAGCAAAGGACAGTCTCAGGGAGAAAAAAAATGTCATTCAATAAAAACTGCTCCGAAGAGATAAATAAAACTAGTCTTCTTAGTCTTTTTTCAGTATCTCTCAGTAGGAAAAATTCTACAAAAAAAAAAAAAAAATCCAGAGGGAAAAAACTTAAACGCTAACTCTCCGTGGAGGAAACAGTCTTAGAAAACTAAAGTTAATATATAAAAAGGCAAAAGTATAACGAAATAATTGTTCAAAAAGATCCACAAGCCAAGGAACAGAAACTTCTCCGTAAAGGGAATCATCTTCTCAAATGGGTGTAATTATAATAACACCCGACAGGGGGCGCAGAGTGGCATTTCCTGGGCCACGACACCTGCGAGGAAGAGTGAGCGCTTTGTGGCTGGAGGGAGCCGGAATATAACAGCAGGACTGAAACTAAAAAGGAATGAGCCTGGTAGCAGAGAAAAGCAAAATCAAGAAGGCTGACCAGGAGTCAGAATCAACAGGAAAAAAGGCAGACTGGACAGGACCGGAAGATCGAAGAACACGCATGAAAGCAAACAACAATCAAACACAGGACAACGATAATGGAAGGAATAAATAGAGGGAGAAATCAAGGAGAACAGGTGAGTGCCATTAACTTAATAGAGTAACAGAACGTAAACGGGAGGATGGGCGTTGAAGTAGAAAGTAAACAGAAGGCATGTGGCGGGTGATCAAAACAAAACGTGCTAGAGAAAGGCACATCGACAAAACAAACCCGACAAAAACAAGTAGCCCAGATGATCAAACCGAGGACATGACAACAACCATGTCGTTCAGACCTGCAACACATTCCAAGTTGGCACAGGAGCATTTTAGGGCTAGTTATCAGGTAAACCGATTAAATAACATTGTGAAGTAAAACAGGTGGTCAACAAGTGATTGTAATTATGATTTGGTACAAAGCAGCATCCGAAAAAGGTAACGTAGTTACATCCACAAATGCCAGTGAAAACTGTACTGTGCAAAAAGGAAGCCCTAGGTTAACGGTGTCCAGAAGCGCTGTCAACTTCTCTGGGCTCGGAGGTATCTGGGATGGATCATCACACAGTGGAAATGTGTACTGTGGTCAGATGAATCAGTACTCCAGATATTTCTTTTTAGGAGAAATGGACGCTGTGTGCTCCTGTCACGATCACCGGCGATCTAACAACCAGAGATTGCAGGTAAGCACTCACATTCAAATGAACTACAAATCCGCCATGTTATGGACTACATATTTAGTCATGCAACACACACACACACTTGCTCCAAATCACAGTTGATTGCAAACACTCAGACAGCTGAAGCTGCTAACAGACTAATTACTTGGACTATACCCTGCTGAAAAAACAGCTTAAACCAGCCTAAGCTGGTTGGCTAGTTTTAGCTGGTTGGCCAGCTTGGTTTTAGAGGGCTTTTGGCCCCTTCCAGGCTGGTTTCCAGCCATTTTCAGCCTGGTCTTAGCTGGTCAGGAAGCAAAATGACCAGCTAAAACCAGCTTGACTAGCCTGGTTTAAGTTGGACATAGCTGGTTTTGGCTGGCCTCCAAGCCTGACTAGTCTGGTCAAGCTGGTTTTAACTGATCATCTCCCAGCCTGACCAGCTAAGACTAGGCTGGAAATTGCTGGAAACCAGCCTGGAAATGGCCAAAACCCCTCTAAAACCAGCCTGGTTGACCAGCTAAACCCAGCCAACCAGCCTAGGCTGGTTTAAGCTGTTTCTTTCAGTAGGGTAAGTACTGCTCAAGCACACACAATGTTGCTGAGTCTTGTTATTTGTTTAAGTGACACTACAACACGTTTCCTTGTGTCTTGTTTTGCCGTGTTTTGATCCCCGCCTTGTTTATCTGTGTATTCCTGTCTGCTGCCTGCCTTCTGACCATCTGCCTGTGTATTTGACTATGATTCTGGATTGCCTGTATACATTAGTTTGCCCCTGTGTTCACCATTGCTCACCTGACCTCGCTAATAGACCTGCACTTGGATCCGCACCCCTGTTGTCAGCGTCACTTTCCCTGGTTACAGCTCCGCACCAAAAGAGTTAAGGGTTATCCACACTATTACTAGCAAGTCCAAAATCCAGGGTCTGTTATGGTATGGGTTTGTGTCAGTGCACAGAGGCTACTTGCTCTTCTGTGATGGCACTATTAATGCTGGAAAGTAAATAGGAGTTTTGAAGCACAATATGCTGCCTTCTTTTCCAGGAACACCAATGCATATTTCAACAGACCATGCAAAACCACATTCTGAACACATTACAAAGTCCTGGCTGCAGAGGACGAGGAGACAGGTACTTGACTGGCCTGTGTAGTGGTTTTCGGTTCTTCTCTTAACGAATCAAACTCAGTCTGGAGGTTATGAATATCAGAAGAGTATACTTTATTGTCGACAACAAAGGAGAATTTTCAGGAGACCCCCAGTAGCATCTCTGTCTGAAAAATTCTGTCTCACTGATGTTCTGGCCTGCTTAAATACTCTTTTACAACAGTTTTTTTTCCTTTGTTCTACATATGTCACACAAGATCCCTCCTAGTTTAACCCCTGACCCCAAATTCCACCTCTGACATACCTCAGGCTTTTTACCACTCTCTTTTCATCCCTTTTTTGTGACCCTTAGTTGTTTCCTCATGCCATTTCCCCTTTCTAACTCTACATAGCACCTTAATTGTTTTAATGGTATGCAAGTCTACAAGCAGATTATACACGTACAATTTGAATATATAGATTAACTTCACACTTTAAAGAGTATAAAATCCACTTCACCTGCCGGCAGCCCCGAGAAATAGGGGATACATAATCATGTGTATTTAGCTTTTTGATGACTTTGTTATTTCTGCATTATTCTTATGGCACCAGTTTGGTTAAATTGTTGATCTGTAAAAACCTTTTTTTTCCATTCAGATATTTTTAGATCTCTAAAAATAATATTATTAGGCATAATAAATGCAGGAAATTTAATTCATGCTCTGTAACTGCAATGCTACACATTAGGGTTGGGCATCTAAGCTATAATGCCGATCCGATACGCATCTCGATACGAAGAATACGATCCGATATATTAGCGATACATTTGTGACATATTGCGATGCGACACGATACGATTCACACCCATATCACGATACAATGCGATAATTCAGCACTAACTAATTAAATCAAGTTTATGAGATGATGTGAAAGAGGATGCTGTGCCATTGAATGAGTTTGATTATTTATTAACCAAGCAAAACCAAGACTTCTTTTACAAACTGGCTTTTCTCTCAGAGCCAGAGTGTCAGTTTACAGTAGAGGGCCATTTTAGAACATATAGCACATATTATTTAAGTATTTTCAAGATAAACAGAATGTATAAGTGCAATATATATTAAAAATATATATATATTTGCACTCTTTCAACATAAAGGTTTAGCATTGCACAACAACAATTGTGATTTAACTTTTCAACTATGAAAACAAGTTTTACAAAGATATTTTGCCACTGAATATTCAAAACTTAAGCTCGTGAACTAGCAGCTGCTTTGAAACATCACTGTCACTGTAAACAACAGGCTAATAAAAATATAACAAACCAGCAATCTTCTTGCTGTGAGGTGGTCAAATTACCCACTGTGCCACCGTGACACCCATCATTTTTATCATTATTATTATTAATATTATTATTATTATAATTAAATACAAATTAACAGGAGGAGGTGTTTAAAACCTTCGTTATCCGTGACCCTAGGCTGAATATCTTTGCAGATGAACAATGCAATAGCATTCGTTATTGGCGTAGAGCGCACAAAACTGTTGCGTGTGGAAAAAAAAAACTTGCAATGCTTTTCTCACCACTTTTGGAGCTGATTGAAGCAGTGCGAAAGCCGGGGATGCAGGAACACTGGAAGATGCTTTCACAACAACACCGTGGCGCCGCTTCAAGTGAGATTTCAGATTAGTCGTACTGCCCGCGTATTTTACAGATGCGCGGCACATTTTGCAAATTGCATCTGTCCTGTCAAGTCGTCCATCCTTAAATCCATAATGTTGCCATACTTTAGATTTAAAACTCAGTGAGGAATAAAATGTTTGTTTTGCTTCTCGCGCTTTCTGAGGGCGCACCACTAGCTTCATCCGCACACCTGATACACTGAGTTGTAGTGTAAGTGTACACATCCGCAAATCCGTTGCTAAGGCTTACTTTATGTAGGTCGATTAAATTATGCGCCAAAAACAGGTTGACAACACTTGTTAATAAATAAAAAATGTATTCTATATTAAAAATATAAGCTGTATCTCGGAAAAACCGATGCATCTCGCAAAAACCGATGCATCTTGATTTGCTTCAAAAATTTCATTCATCCTCTGCTGCTCAACCGATGCACTCGCATCGTGAACGCGCATAACCGCGTATCGATACATATCGGTTAATCTTCCCATCCCTACTACACATGCTTTTTGCCCTGCAGTTTTAAAGACGACATCAGATGCACATATTTGCTTTGCTGAACCTTTTTTTATTCCTCCAGAGGGCACTCGACATCATGAAATAAAACAAGACGAGACTCTTGAACTGAAGAAAGAGACAATTTTATTAATACAGATGCAAATACATCTGGCAAATATATGATATTATAAACAAAACATCCAAACTAGATCTGGACAATAATAACACTACAAAACACAAACATTAAAGATTGCATTGTACATAAAAACTTAACACTTAAAGCTGTGAACTAAGCATAATGAAAGCAAAGCTTTGTATTTGAAGTCTGCTGCTGTATTTCTGTCAAACCCTCACATGAGCTGCATAAGAACCATCAGGTTCATCTAAAATCTTCAAAATAATTGAAGCTGAAATGACTGAAAGCAGTTCTCTGACATCATCATTCAGGTTTGTGATGCGTGAATATGTGCTTGATCTTGTTCAGCTCTTCTGGATCTGATGTCATAAAGCACAATAATGACAGTAGCCACGCCCACCAGAACAGAGAGGACCAATCGGATCGCAGCTTCAGTAGGACCACAGCAGTGAACAGAGCCTGAGGAACAAACACATCAAACTGAGCTCAGATCAGTCAATAAAGCTTCATATCAGCACTGCCATCCACTAATATCAGCTCTGCTGTACCTGAACATGTGGGACAGAGTTGACTGATGTCCAGATGTTGAGTCTGGTTGCTGATGGTGTTGTTGATCACACAGCTGTAGGTGTTTTTCTCCTGATATTCCACCTCCAGAGGTAGAGAGAGACTGATGCTGAGATCAGACACACTGATGCTGGACAATAAACTGTTTCCTTTGTACCAGGAGAGACTCACAGCGCTCACATTCACCACTGAACACAGCACTGAACAATACTGCACTGATGAAGATGAGGATGAAGGACATTGAGAAGAGTTGAGGATGAGGACAGGAACAGGCAGAGGAGCTGAAAACACCAGAGAATAAAGAGAAATCAAGAGACTGAAGTAGACAAGACCCATCCACATTAGAGCATTGAACAACATCTACAAGCCCAAATCAGAAAAGGTTAGGACAGTATGAAAAAAGCCTAAAGTAAAAAAATATGTAAATTAAAGAAGTAGTGATTCCTAAATTATTTTCAGTTGTATCTCATTGCAGGCAATACAACAAACATCATTTAATGTGTTCTTAATGACTTTTATTGTTTGTTTGTATTTCACAATGTAAATATGTATTCCAGTTTTGTTTCTTCGCGCTGAGCGGAGCTCTCAGTAAGGTACCGTCGGAAAAGTGCTTCTTTTTTCCATTTTTTTTTTTTTTTGCTCCGCTCAGCACGAGCTCTCTCAGCTAAACACATATTGCGAGGGCTTAAATGGAGCAGTGGTCATAATATCGAGCGGGGAAAAAAAAGAAAAAGACAACTGTGAAACATAACCAGCTTTTTCTTTTTGTAGGAAACACAGTTTAGATCTTTTTAGGGTAGGCTAAATGTGTCAGGATTATCGAAAAGAAAACCAACTTAACCGCGCTAAGTTAGCAATACTTTGGTGATTCGTGTTTGTGTTTAAACAGACAAATACACCTAAAAATATGTAAACATGTCCGTCCTGCCTGTTTTATTTTAAACACAGCTAATTTTCTCTTCAGGCACGTGCAAAAGTGCCCTTCCAAAATGATCTAAAGTGCCCCCGCGACAATATGCTAAAATGCTAATCAATAAATAGCTATAGTGCTATCTGTTAGTTTTAACGTCAGCAAATGTTATGGGAGGGCATTGATGTTACAGAAAATGTACTACCCCCATCATTCCTCCCTCAAGCAAATGTGTAAATATTAGATTTATTCAGCTATAACGTTAATTGCATTGGCATATTTATCTGAAGTTTTCCCAGCTGGTAGTAGTCGATCAAAAAGCTATTGTAAGACTGGATTTTGGCTGCCCGTGGGTGAAGGTAAATAAAGACGATGGGCTTGAAAATACTGACGACTAACTATTTTATTGAGCAAAAACTATGGAGGAGATCGACACGAGTCTCCTCTCGTCACACTCTACCAGCTGTTCCCCCCTACACACACACACACACACACCCTTTCCTGCAGAGGACGCAACACCAAAATAAAAGTCCTTAACAGAAACATTCAAAACAGAATACAATCCATATTAAACAAACAGCTTCACACTATTTAGTTCTTATGACTTTACACTAGCAGTGGAATTTACTGCGATGTGACGGGGCGCCACCTGAAATCTTGCCAAGGGCGCCAAATCGGTTAGGGCCGGGCCGGGCCTCTACTGCAATCAGGCTTACTTCTGGGCTTGCTCTCTTTGTCTCTTTGTCTATCTCCTTGTACCTCTGGTAACTCTAATTTAACATTTAAGCTGGGTACAATTTATATCATATGTTTTATCATTTCATATTTTATCATTTTACACAGTTATTTTGTAATTAATTCAATTGTAACCATAGGAATTATTGTCATTAAATCATCTCATTTTCAAGTATTTGTGAATTACTTTTAATTTAACATCAACATTTAATTGCAATACAATACAATCCCATAATAACAACGCTCCCCAATTAATAGCAATTAATACTGCCCTTATTTACGTTTTTGGTATAAGATTGCGGAAGAATGGTTTGACTAGAAATGTACAGTTTTTACCATCATAACTGATAACTTTTTAGTCATTCGGCAGAACTACAGTTCAAACCACTGTAGTTTAAAACCCATTGCTACAAAATAAAAGTCAAAGTGAATTTGGAAATCACTGTTTATTCTCGTTTTCCATACTGTCCCAATGATTTCTGATATATCAATAAAATCGTAAAACACACACAAAAAAGAAAAACAGTGAGTAAACACATTTGTAACTCACCATAGACAGTCAGACGGAAAGTAATAAAAAGATGGCTGGTCTTAAGTAGGTATTTCCCAGCATGCTCAACAGTGGTGTTTGTGATGGTCAGAGATCCAGTTTTGTTGTCCAGTTTCAGGCTGTCTCTGAATCTCCTATCAAGAACATCATCAAATATAACGACGTCACTGTCCCTGTTAATGCTTTCAGCTATTGGAAAGTTTTCATTAGAAAACAACCACTGAACCTCATCATCATCCATCATTTGAGTAAAACCGGAGTTCAGAGTGACCGAAAACTCTGTTTTCACAAACACTTTTTTCTCTCCTGGATCACCAAACACAGAGCAGAAGCAAACTATGATTAGTAGGGACAGATGGGTTATAAATATACCATACCATCATTTGATGGTTGACAAAAATAAACATTTGAAAAGATTACAAAATAAATCAGATGAAATAAACACACCAACAACAATAAGATGAACAGTGTTGATTTCGCTGTTGGTCTGTAGTTTATAAACTCCAGCATGTTCAGATGTGATGTATGTGATGGTCAGAGATCCCGTTTTCTTGTCCAGTTTCAGTCTGTCTCTGAATCTTCTATCAAGAACATCATCAAATACAGAGAATCTGTTTGCGGTTACATTGATTTCTGCAATTAAAGTGTCCTTAAACCTCCACTGAATCCCATTGTCATTTTTCAGTACAGTAAAACCAGATTTTAGAGTGACTGAATCTCCCATTGTCATTTCCATTTCATCTTCATCACAAGACACAAAGAGAACAAATATCAACGCTGAAAAAATAACTTTACAGTGTGAATGTTCCATTTAATATGAATATAATAAAACAGGAGGAGAACCGACACACAATAAACAGCATTTCAAGAGTTCACACTTAGCTGATGATTGATAATAAAGCTAGTTTGGCGTGCTGTCCCGGGAGAGAGCCCTGAGCTTATAAGATCCTCGAGCCCTGGGCTCCCTCCCGTTGCAAGGCAAGAGGGGAGTTTGAGCTCAGGTAGATCTCGATGACTCCCCTTCTTGCTTGTTGTAGCTAAGTGTCAGATTTGGATGCTGAAAGGTGTACTCAGAGTTTAGCTAAAGTATTTGGATTAATTGTTTAGAGTGTTTGTTTTTGAACTGTGGGAGGAAACCGGTGGACCTGGGGAAAACCCACGCGACCACGGGGAGAACTAGCAAACTCCACACAGAAATGCCGTCTGGTTTGGAAAGGAATTAAACCAGGGGCATTCTTGCTGTGAGGCAACGGCTAATCGCCGGCCACCGTGACGCCCGTTTGAAAGGAGGGAAAGTAGGGTTGGGTGGGGGGGTTTCTTCAAGACAAAGATATTGAGATGAGAAAAGTCTGGTTATTTATAGTGAGTTAAGGATCGTCTGATAGGATAATCAGTCATTAGCTAAAGTTGGAACAGCTGTGAACAATCATAAGTACGTGATCCTCTCGAAATTTGTTTATAAATAAACTTCACTTGTTGTGGATTAATATTGTACTTAGTGATTAAAAAATAAAATAGGTGAAACAAATATTCAACTCACCAGAGACTTCAACAATGACCATCGTGCTCATCTGATTGATCTGTAGTTCATAATCTCCACCATGTTTATTTCTGATGTTTGTGATGGTCAGAGATCCAGTTTTGTTGTCCAGTTTCAGTCTGTCTCTGAATCTCCCATCAAGAACATCATCAAACACAGAGAATCTGTTAGCCGTTACGTTGATTTCTGCGATTGCATTATTGTCTTCATATCCAAACCGCCACTGAATCTGATCCTCATCCTTTATTTCTGTGAGATTAGAGCTCAGAGTTACTGAATCTCCCACCGTCACAAAATAAACGTCATCCCCACCTGCAGAACAGAGACGTGTGATTAAGGTTCAATCACAGTTCTATTTTACACCGCCTACCCCCACTACTTCACCTACCCCTTGGCCTTTAAAACAGATTGTTAAGGAGTAGGAGTGGAAATACCCACTTAAGTATTGTGACACAACTACTTGTCAGGATATATGGAGACCCAAGCGCAAGGGAGAAGATTAAAGGAATATTTATTAAACAGAACCAAATCCACAATTCTGCTCTCCTTGGCAGTAAGTAACAGTCATTCAAAAAATATAGAAACACAGGCAGTCTGTAAACGACCCTCCTCTGGGTGGTGGTGGACTGATCAAACAAAAGAGATCCTCTTGGTATAACAGTAGTAAGTTAGGACAGACCTCAGGAAGCCAAGCAGATGAGACCTCACATGAGCGTGGACTGTGGGCAGAGCAGAGGTGAGCCAGAGCACAGATAACAAGATCAAACGTGGTGAAATAGACAATGCAAGACTTGACGAGACGCAGTGCAAAGTGCGAAACTATCTTGAACAGGGTACCGGTAACTCACGCAACACTTGAACACAGAATAAATTAACAAGCACAGAACGAGGGAGAAGGAAAGACTAAATAGCTACAATAAGCAGGGAGAACAGGTGAGAGGGATGGGGACGGGGAAACAAGCTAATTGATAACAGGTGAAACTGCATACAAATGACAATACACAAGAGGGAGACAGAGAAGTCACAAAAAACCCAGACACTACTATACATATGTAATAACGTCGTCACCGGCACAGGTTTAGAGATCCATGGAGCGGGCATTTATATTTAGTTCATGAATAAATCATATATGCAATGTAAAGCACTGTGTTAGCATTTACGCTAATCATCTGTAGGCTTTGACTTAACTGGAGCACTAAGACCAATGATTGCCTTGTAAAACAAAAAGCGCACATCAACAAGCGTAGCGTCTCTCACATACAGTTAGGACGATTCCAAGGGCCCATACATTTAGGGGGGCCCCAGAGACATAATCAAGGGTCCGCGCATTCAGCTTTTCTTTGTGAAGAGTGCGCTGGACTGTGAAACGATGTACAATGACATTATTAGCAGCAAGATAATCCTGGAGGTGGTCTGTGGTTTGCCCTTGGCCATTCTAACCATTCTTTGCCTTTTCCTTTCTGATATTTTTCTTAGTCTAACACAGGAGTCACCAACCCTGTTCCTGGAGGGCCGATGCCCTACAGAGTTTAGCTCCAACTTTAATCAAACACACCTGAACAAGCTAATCAAGCTCTTACTAGGTATACTAGAAACATCCAGGCAGGCGTGTTGAGGTATGTTGGAGATAAACCCTGCAGGGACACCGGCCCTTTAGGACCGAGATTGGTGACCCATGGTCTAGCACATCTTTCCTTCACAAGAACGGTTCCTTCCATTTTCTTACTATATTTCTGACTGTGGAGATGGAGACTTTAAACCTTTGTGGCTATTTGCATCCTTCTCCTAATTCATGTTGATGAATTATCCTAGTTTTTAAGTCATTAGGAAGTTCTTTTGCGGTTCCCATGGTGCTACTTTCAGGTTCACAATATGGAGAAGTACAACTAGCAATCAGCTATCTTTAATATCCTTTCTTATCATTGGTTGAACCTGTTTTAGGATTGTTAAGGTTCACTGAATCACTCAAATCAATTTGTGTTATGATTTTGATATACAAGTAGTAATAACCTGCTAGACATTCCTGACTGCTGCATCTCCTCCAGTGCACTTTTGGGTCAGTTGCAGGGTCATCAGCTGGATCTGGTGAGCATTGTTCACTGATGTTTCGCCCCCTACCCAGTACACCACCCATTGGAGGGGCAGTAGCTTGAGGGGACATCTCCCCGCCACCCCCTGCAGCTAGCCTTAATGGGGTACCACATTCTTGTACCTCCTCCATAGCCACATCCAGTACCTTGCCTTCTCTATCTCCTTGGCCAGCTCCTTAATAACTCCCCTCAGACTTATCCCAGATGCTTCGGTAGCGTGGAGAATATGAGTTACTGACTTCCCAACAAATCCTCTGCACCTGACTTCTATGAGATGTACTATCGCCGTCCCACCCTCGACTCTACATTTCGCTGCTAAGTCGAAGTACTTGTGTCGCTTGAACTCATGCGCCGCTGCCATTCCCTCCTCCCACAGCACAGTCAGCTCAATCACCAGAACCTTCTTAGCCGTTGCTGAACAAGCACTGCATCTGGTCTTAGGCCGTACTCACACTAGGTGCAGTTGCCCCGAACCGGGCCAAAGCATGCTTGTTCCCCCTCCCGTCTACCCCGACAGCCCACACTCACACCACAAATGGGCCTCGGCACGCTTACGTCATCGATGCTGCACTGTTCAGTGAGAAGCGCTCTCAACTCAGCAGCACAGTGGAGATATCTCTAGTTATATCGTTTCAGTTGTTGGATATGCAGTGACATGCAGTTGGTGACAGATGTTTCGCCAAACAGATCCGCCACTTTTGGCGCTCATAAACAATCATAAAGCCCTCGTGCTGCAGGAATGAGGAGGTCTGCTGAAGGTGCAGCTGTCGTGCAGTGAGAAGTTTGCATCTTTAATAAACTATGGCAGTTTGCGTTCACTGAACAGTGAGAATGATTAATAAATCCATATGAAACAGCCCCTTAAAAGTCACGTCTCGCTTTCAGTTTCGGGCTTTGGCGTGTTTTGCACTCACACACAAGTGTACCGCGCCAAATCCAAAGTAAACCACGCTCAGGCCCACCTCTTCCAACCGGGCCAGGGCCGGCCAAGTAAACTGTGCTTGAGCCCAATTCAGTGCACTCACACTTCTCAAACGATCCGGGAAACGAGCCTGGGCACAGTACGGATGGCATAGTGTGAGTAGGCCCTTAGTGTTGTTTGTGTGATGTCAAGTGGAAAGATGAGTTAAGAGTCCCAGTCAATGTGCATCTCCCACTCCGTTCAAGGTGCGAATAGGCACCTTGTTCTCTCTGTACCAGTAGTCTGCCCCACTTCTCCTGTTCTGAGGAACCTGATATTTGGCAGAGGAGATGTTGATGTGTTGTTTGCTTGTACTCTGCATTTTTAAACTGCATTTTTCCAGATGCTCTGCCAGCTTTCACCTGGTTGTGCCACCATCTAAAGCGGCCCTGCGTCAGTGCAACATTGCATCCCGACAGGATATGTTGCAGGCCTGCATTGGCTTTATCGCACAGGGGCATTTGTCCTCAGTTCCGAACCTTTGTGAAAGGGAGGGTATCTCATGAAGATGCTGGACAACGGAGATCAGAGATCCACTTGCAGTTTATTTAAACTTAGTCAGACCGGCGTTGGTCACAGAAAAGGAACAAAGAAAAGCAGGAGGGTAATCCAAAGAGCGTTGTTAGAAACAAGAAGATATTCAGAACAGGCGGCAAAGAATCAGCAAACAGTAAACCAGACAAAGAACTCAGGCAAATGGCTAGCTTAGTCTACAATAACCAGGATGCAAATGGCTGCGGGTGGACTTTAGCCAAGGCCAATAAGATCGATCCCAAAATGCTCAAAGGGCAGCAAAGATAGGTAATTAAATGAGCAGGCTAGGAGGAGGTAGGACAGCTTTGATAGTAGCATTTGACATCTCCCCTAGTCTTCTTCAGTGAAATTAGTACCGTGGTGTTGGCAGCAGCTAGGTGTCCCAGCAGTTTCTTAACGGATCATCTTCCTGATGTTCTGTGCCAAATGATCTTCCAGCAGTAATCTGTAGAAACAATTCCAAGACAATGCTACATGAAGAATTTTGAGACTTTCCCCATCATTGGCTGTCAAATGCCACCAGGACAGCTGGGTGGGGATGCATGGTCATGTCCAGCAGGTTCTCAAGCCCCAGCTAGTCACAGCCTCGCAGCAAGAATGCTGAGCTGGAATGTTGCCAGTATAAAATGCGTACTGTGCCTGAAGATGTGCCCACTCACCACAATCCCGCTTCCCTTGACTTGCAATATTCTCAAACTTATGGATTCCATGGTAGGCTTGCCATCCAGATCTCATCCAGGTTGCTTACTTTGTACAGATGTAAGTGGATTGGAAAGCGGCATGTGAACATTGGCTTCCCTCAGCCATTCAACCAACTACACGATTCTCTCTTGATGAGGTATGCGAATGAGTAAGTGCTGCTCTTCAACATTTCTTCATATAATCAGTTCGCTGGTTTCTATCTCCTTTTTTTTCTCAGTTGCAGCAATAGTTGAAGTCTTTACTTCAGTAATGCATATGTGGATGTCATGGGTGGTTTCAAGAAAACAGGCCCAGTTGCAACAATGATCTATACAAAGGGGTTTATTGACAGAATAAGGCACAAGTAGATAGACAAGGGGATGACAGGGTCCAAATAGTAGGGGCAACAACACAGGGAAGCCAGGGGTAGTGACAAGATGGTACTTAAATGAAAAGCCAGCCAGGAGTAGGAGCAACAGTGGTCAAAACCAGAGCTAGATCCTGAGGCAAGCCATGTAAACTCCAGACTGGCAGACTAGGGAGGTCAGGACACGGGAAAGGGCTGGAAAATTATAAGACTCAAGACAGCATACAGGCAGCAATAATAAAACAAAATTAGAAATAAAGTTAAATATAAATACTAGAAGAGAGAAAGACTGACTTGAGCAACCTGCTTAAAACTGAAATAAAGACTTCTAGAATCTTAAAGAGTAATTAAACAAATTAAACAATAATTAATAATAAACTACTAAGAAGACTGGGGCTGACAGAAAAAGGAACCACAATGGTTCTAAGGATAAAAGTAAAATAAAGATTAGAAAACAAAATTAAGTAAACACTAGAAGCTACTAGGGATGGCTGACGTGAAACTGACGTTTCGACACAGAGACCCCGAAGTTCAAGTGTTCGGAAACACTGCACCGAAGCATGTTCCGAAACACCCAAGTCACGTAACTAAAAGGTGCGTTCGACATGAAGCACAGCTGCAGCCGGTGATCAACGAGATTAGTCGAACGCAGGCGGGGGCGGAGTTGAAAACGGAGCCGTCAAGTCGGACAGCTGGACACTTCGGGGCTCAAAGTTGCTGCAGTCATGATGACCGATCATATGGCGTCATCATCATTTATTATTTTTTTATTTATTACAACAAAAGACTTGCAAATGAAACAGAATACAGTCTCTACAAACTATAGTTCATTTTTACACAATAAGGGAGAGTTATGAATAAAATATATACCATGAGAGAAATAAGGGGAAATGAGAGGTTAATATAAACATAAATACAAAAAGGGTTATTAAATATAAAGCAATAAGCACAAATTCTAGGAGTTTAAACATCACTGTTTAGGCTAATACTTTTTGTTTGAATATGCTAAAAAGGGCTTTACATTTATTTACATTTTTAGATATAAAACTTTCCAATGTAAAACTCAAAACAAGGTATTTTGATTATGTCTTAATAAATAAGATTAGTTTGGATAATGAAAGCATTTTCAAAAAAAGCACTTTAATCCAAAAAGATTGAACAAAAGGGAAAATAAGTGAGCTACACTTTAAGCAGATGTTTTCCAGAAAGAGCAGGTATAAACGGCTAGACAGGACAAAACCCCTCCACTATATCACTTGAAGGTTCAATTGTACAAAGTGGGGTTTAATATCTCAATTTGCTCAACTGTTCTTTGCTGAAGCTGTTTCAGTGTAATACATAAAAAAATGACCACTAGGTGTCACCGTAGAGTGGGGCTTCGAAACGTTTCGAAGCTTCGACTGTTTCAGTGTTTCACAAAACCTCGCTTTGCCTATCACTAGTAACTGAAAATAAGAAGACAGGGTAAATAAGAGGGCGGGTACTGAAAACAAGGAGGAAAGACAAGAGGAGCACATGGCAGACACAAATTAAGACACAGCAATGTAAATAAGCACAGGACAAACAGGCAAACATGAAACACTGACAGGACAGACACGACTAAGGAGTTATAAGTGAGTATAAATAGAAACAATTCAGAAACATAAAAAAAACATCTGATATTAAGTTCCATTAAGTTCAATTGGATTTTCATTAGACGTTCTATTCATATCTTCAACAGTAAATAGTTGCAAAATAGTTACATGCAGCTTAAACAATGGCTTACTTGTTTTGCTTTCACCAACATTTGATAATCAGCAGCATTTTGTGAAATTAATGGTGCACCCACATTATATCAACTGCTAAAAGAAAGACGTGTAATGCTGTGTTCACACCAGACGCGGAACGCGCTGATAAATTGCGCTTTTCGCGCGTAAATTGCCGCATGAACATTTGAGGTTACTCGCTTCATTCGCCCGTCAAATCCGCTTCATTTGCTCTTCAAATTCACTTTAAAACAGACGCGGATTCGCGTGATGGGCAGGGCTTCTGTCTGCCCGGTGACTCAAGCTTCATAGCTAAATAGCTAACATGGATTTTATGAAGAAAATAACAGTGTTAATGTGCTTTATGGAGACTGAAAAACAGCGTCGATACGTTTAGGGTCCTGTTCTACGTCACAATCACGCCCCCACAAGAGCAAGCTTCTGATTGGTTAACGCGGCGCGAATGTCCGCTGAAGTTCAGATTTTTGCTCAAAATGCTCAATGCGCCTTGCCCGTATCACGCTATTCGCACCGCGCAATTTGCATCATTCGCGCGTAACGCGCCGCAGGATGTCTATTCGCGCATTTGCATTGACTTAACATGTAAATCACTCGCGCTTGACGCGCGTGCCGTGTCTGGTGTGAACGCAGCATAACAGAGCGATCAATAATAATAGAGAAGTTTGTCAGCTCAAATGACAAAACTTACACAATGTGTAGATTAGTAACTGCATCGTTGTGCTGATTCTGAACAAAACTGTAATTTGCAGAACATACACAGAGAAAACTTTCAATCCAGTTAAAAATCCCCACTAAAACCAATAATGTGGCTGTTTAGTGTTTTATAAACACAATTTTTATAAAAAAAAAAACACTAAATCTGTTTGTGAGAATTTAAGAGATTAAAAACTCACCAACCAGACGCCACAAAATGAGCAAAACTAATTTGAGAAACATTTTCTTCATCAGTTCACTGATAACTCCAATGATTAAAGACTCTTAAAATGTGTGAAAACACTCTGAACTGAGATATTTATCTGCTTGCATGTCAACCCTCCTCTAACCAGTTTCCGCTCTATCGTTGTAACATCATGTGAATTTGCAATTTCTGCTGAACTGTCATTTTCTCAGGAATTCTGATACACCGACCACAAAAAAAAAACAAAAAAAACTGAAGCTGTTAATCAACAATTACATCCAACTCAGTGGTGGAAAGAGTACTGAAAAGTATCATTACTTGCCAAAAAATTTAGCTGCGAACAGAGTTGACGTATCTGTTGTGAATATTACTCAAAGTACGAGTAAAAAGTAGCCCTTTGAAAAGTACACTAGAGTAGTGGGTAGCCCATTTTTTGCATGTGCAGACCCAGGAAAATTAAAACCCTAGGCCACAAACACTCTAGAAAGAAATAGAAGACAAACACTGTAGCAGATCCCAGTTGAATCAAGTCGCGAAGACGCTGTGCGCTGAAGTATGAGGGAAAGTTAGTGTTATTTTCCCTACCCAAAGATTAGGCTGCAAAGAGTCAGTGGTTAAAGATTATTTCTGCAAAAATACCTCAGCATTATAGCCCCAGCCTTGTGCTGTGTTCCTGTCATTTTTCTGACGAGTGCTTTAGCAATCTACGCGCTTTCATTGGGGGATTCGTCGGCCGTTTGTTAAAGGAAGAATCAGGAGGCATGGCTAGTGATGTAAGGGACTGTCAGAGCTTGATAGGAACTTTACAGTACACAGTTTATGGATCAGTTCCTTCCTCCATTTCACAAGTGTAAGTAACTTAAGTGCAATTAAAATGGTTGCCTCCTCGTTTTTCTCACTATCTTCCGTGACTCCCCCCCACCCCCCCCCCCCCCACTATCCGTCTTCACTTTGTTCCCCATCTATTCCTCCACATACATATTAAAAAACCTCCTATAATGTAAATAAGTTGTCATTTGTTAAGAATATGTCCGTAAGTCAATTTGACAAAAATGGCAGATAGAACCTTATAAATCTAAGGTGATGACTTGTCAAACAAAAATTGAGTAAGTTGCTCTGCTGAACTTTTTTTATTCCTTTAGAGGGCGCTCGACAATGAAAAAGAAAATTATCCCCTTAAACTTGAGTGAGAACACTTTATTAATAAAAACAGCA